AGACAGGGGTAGAATTCAAACCCAGGTCCTCAGACTCCCAAACTCTCATGGTCATAACCATCTGCTACCTGTGTGCAAATATCACCAGAGGATTTTTATATACCCAAGAGAAGCATATTTGCCTTTTATCTTCCAACACCAGATCTGTGATGTACAGATGAGTTATATACAGCAGAAATAAAACATAGATATCCCTTTACATAAAACCTTCAAAAGTATGAATTTCTATTGATTGGAATATATTTATAGTTAAAATCAGAGCAAAAAGACAGCTTGCTACCTACCAACAGATGGCAACAGGAAATACACTTTGAGTCTACAGATTTAGGATTAGTTTGTGACCCTAAGAATATGTGTAATCCAGTTGAGAGTTTCTGTACATAGACACGTAAGAAGACCCGTAATAAAATGGCAACAAGAATTCACCAAAAACAATTTCTTTGAAAAATGTCAATGTAATTTACTAACGAAAAACACCCAGCTGAAACAGTGCGGAGTAAGATGAACAGCCTCTATTAAGTTTAACTGAAATTCTCCTACCCACACATGCCATACATAAAATTTACTTCTATACTTATTCTTTACACCTCTAACCTGCAACAAGTCCATACTAAAGTACCAGCTTTTTAATTTGAGCATTCATGCATGAAAATTGTTACATTTTTTTTGTGCTTATATTGACAAATTTAATGCAGGTGAAATCTCTATTTGTAAAACAGATTAAGTCTTGTTAATTGTTCAAAAAGAGTGAAAAGTGAATCCCCTGGCTTAAATTAGAAATTTGTTTTAAAAGCTGAAGTTTATCACTTCTCAATGGCCCTTATTAACTCCCATAAACAAACAAATAAATAAAATTAAATGAGTATACGTTTCCATATATTCACAATTACAATGATTTTCTCTTTATCTCTCTCCATCTATATATTAATATACACATATTCATAAGTTTATTGATGTATGCTAGAAGTTTTTTTTGGCAAGTCCTTAAATATATGGAATTATGGTACCATTTTACTCTTTAAGGATAATTTATAAAAACTGAGTTAAGAATTTGCTTTAGTTTATCAAATCAAAACCTAGAATGCTAATTAATTTTAATCTATTATTTT